TCTGTAGGAGAGGAAAAGAACAGCTGTGTCAGACGCGAAGAACCTGAAGGCGCTGGGGAGTCTGTACGCACTCCAGTCCTCCTCATCCCCCCATCCGCCCTGCAGACACGACTGGCAGAGCTCCCCCAGAATCAGCCGCTGAAGTGCCTGTGTGCTCCCCCGTACCCCAGGGCACAGGAGGCGCAGCTGTGGGCCGGGCCGGGCCGGGAGCAGCGGGGCTCTCGGCCCCAGCAGCAGCCCACCCCGAGCTCAGCCAGGCGCAGCCCCTCGGATCCTGTCGCACACGCAGTACGAGCCAGCGAGCACGGCTCAGGTACGGCCTTTCAGGAGCAGGCGACAAGGAGCGGTACCCCGCCTCCTTTGGGGTGGTTCACGTACATCTGCTTTTCACGTCTCACACCTTTGCTATTTGCCATTAAATGCCCCAGTCAAAGGCACGGTGCTGCAGAGACGGGGACCACACAAAACAGGGAGTCCTAGTCCTGGTGGTAAATGAGGATGCAAGAATAGCTTGAATTCTAGTAAGGCCTAGTTTGAGTTTGGCCCAATTCCTACATTCCACCTAGGAACTTAGTCAGAAGTTAGAATTTAGAAACTCATTCATGTTTTACGAAAAATAATTTGATTTTCATAGGTGCATGCAGAGATTCAGTAGGAGTTGCTTGTGTCTATCTGAAGACGACGCTAAAGAAAACTCTTAGTTCAGAGTAGGCTCAGCAGGCAAAGTTAGTAAAACTGAGAAATATAAATAGGATCTGGGCTAGCATCTCTGAACTATCCCGTTATAAATAATACATAGAGAGATGTCTCAGATATATTTAGACTTTTAAATTAAAGAGTAAATGCCTGTACTCACCTTTATTTTCTTCTTTTTTGATGGTGTTGGAGAGCTTTGAAGGTCTTTTCTATTTGCAGAACGAGAATTTCTCTCGCCCTCATTCAAGTCTTCTAGTTTCCTTTTCTTTACTGCGCTCCTTAAAGATCGGAACTGCTGAGTATTGTCCTTCAGGGGGGTTGCGGTGCTAGTCCTTGCAATGGCTGCCCGGGACAGTATCATCAGCGTGTGGGCCGCCATGCTGACGCTGTTCTCGCTGCCCGTTTCGCTAGCCGGGCTGCAGGCAGGCAAGTCTGGCGTAGCCGGGGGCACCATTATCCTCGGGGTCGTGCTGTCCTCATTGAAGCGCCGACAGGTCGGGGTCCGCACACTGTCTGTAGTGTCCTCTGTGTGCCGGTCCCCAACTCCAGACGGCGTACGGGGCACTGGCAATTCTCCGTTTTCAGCCGTTTTACTACTCGGGCTGTGCCACTGAATGTCTTGCAACATTTCCACGCACTGTTTAGTGAACGGACTTGACAGGCAAAGGCCTTGGTTGGAAACTTTAGCCGGCTCTCGCTTGGGCTCCTTCGAAGACAAAGAAATGGACCCCGAAGATTTGCTGTTCCCGTTCGACAGCGACCCTTGCTTTTTGTTCAGCTCTTGCACCGAAGCAACTGTCTTTTCGTTCCATAAGCTGACGCTTTGTTGGCCATTTGAGAGCTTGGCGGTGTCCTGGTTCTTCTGTTTTTCATCACTGTCCCTTCGTAATTCATTTTCTTTATTTGCTGTAGTCTTGTGGAAGGGATCTAGCGGAAGCCCTGCAGTTGCCACCTTCCGCTCGGGCTGCGGCTCCTTTGCAGATGTGCTTCTGTTGCTACCAACTTCCGGCTTGCACAGGATTCTAGGCAACGTTTTGTCTTTCTCTCTTTTTGCTACCTGTGCCTTAGCAGAGGATGATGCAGTCTCAACGGCAAATAAACTATTTTCGTTTCTTTCTTTTTGGGATAAACTCTTAGCAGTCTGAATTTGGGTGGTTCCTCCTGGAACGGGCAGGACGTTATCAAAGCAAAGCACTCTCCTGTGGCTTTCACTTTGTCTTGAATTTGAGCTTGTGGTCTCTACTGGGGCAACAGGTAAGTTCTCCTCCACTTTCCTTCCCAGCTCTGCAGTGATAAGCTTGTCTGAATTTCCAGTTCTGAAAACGAGTTAAGAACACTTGAGCGACATACTTGTTCTTACCAGGCAAGTTCATGTCAGTTGGCTGCAAGTCCCCACCCGCCCCTCAAACACCTGTTTAAAGCACTCCCTGTTCTCCAAACGTAGGTATTTTATCAACACGCAAAGACCACGAGCAAGGGATGACAACTGCGGAAAGCTCAGAGAAAGCAAAAAAGGGCCACAGAAGGGCACAAAACAGAGTCTGGACAAAGAACAATTAGGTAGACTGGGGCTTTTCAGCCTGGAAAGAGAGATGACCGAGGGTAAATGCAACAGAGCTCTGCGAAAAAAGCCAACACAAAGGAAGCCATTTGCTATATCGTCCAGCGAAGAACTAGGGGCATCAAGTAAAACTAGTGTCAGGTTCAAAATAAGGTTTGGACGCTGCATGTAATTAAGCCTGGGAACTTTTTTTACCCTGGGATATTTGTGGATGCTGGTAGTTTACTTGGGTTCAAAGAGACACTGAGCACAAAGCCACACCAAATTAACACGGGAAGAGTAGCAGCAAAATGCTAGCACAGGCTGCACCAGCGCTAGCGCCCGTCTGTATCAACACTCCCAGCAGACAAACGGGAAGAAATAAGGGGTACTGCTTACACTGTTGTTAAAAAAAGCTGCTCTCCTCTCCACGATACTGTACAAAGAAATTTATGGCAGGAAAAAGACAGCAAGTTTGAATACCTAGCACTACTGACCTTTGCGTTCGAGAAGTTGTGTGGTTCAAAGGCTCCACTACGCTTGGTACCACTTTTCCTGGAACGACAGATGAAGTATTAATAAACTACAGTACTCCAAGTAAATCATCTCAGTTTGACATTCCGCCTGACAGAGAATCAATAAAATAAAACCAGCAACAAAACTCCGCAATTTTTTCATAATTTTGAAGTTTACAGATTAATAGATTAGCAGAGGTCGCCAACCAAGTATAAACAAGAAGCTTGCTGCCTGCGCTCAGGTAACACGTAGGCCTGGCAAGACAAAACCAACTCTGCTGGACTTTGAAACGCACAGCGGGGACTTCCAAGCAGAAGGGGAATAACCACAGGGAACCCTGCGCTATCCATCAGCAAACAGAATGCAGACTAACTGCGCAATCCCAGCTTGTTTCTCAATTTGCAACTTCAATCTATTTTCATTTTTATGTGTAAGTCTACTCTTTTTTAAAAACATAGATAGGCTAAAGCACAACTTGTCCTTATAACTCAATTTGGTTTCTATTTAATTATTTTTATTTTGTCCCTCCGAACACCGAGGAATGAATGTAACTCCAGCCTTGTTTCAATTCACTATTTAAAGCAGCAAGGTCTCAATGAAACGAATATGCAGACGTACATACCTGAAATGGCACAGCTAAAACAGATAGCAGAGTGCATTTTTTTTTATAAATAAAATATTTAATAGAAGTGTTGCACACTTAGTAAATGTTTAGAACCCCTCTAATAATTTCTTTGTTACCATGTGGTTTGGTTTCGATGGCAGCAGTAAACCGTACTTATAACCAATATGAAAAATAATCAGAAATACAAAGAAAAGTAAATCTGAAAAACTGCATTACAGCCCTGAAACATTAAATTTTGGAAATCAGCTTGATCCCCAATCTGCAATTATTTTATATGCTGGGAGTTCTTCTTTGTAAGCGGAGCAAACACCATTACTGACTACAGGTACAGGCCCCTCTCAAAGCCATCCCAGCAGTTACCTGGTGGAGGAGCACTGGGATTTGCAGAACCTTATTACTTAGAACTGACTGGTCTTTAGAACCCCACCTTTCTTCTGCCCTTCTCAAGAACGCAAGGCGGGTACCTGTGTTGGCCTTGTTCCTTGCTCCAGGAATCTTTTGTGATTTGGGAGGGATGGGAAGTTTCGGGACACTTCTGTTGCACACTGGATTAGCCACAGGCATGTGTAGAACCTTGAAAGAAGCAAAATATTCCATTACAATTTACCAAAAGGCTCCTTAGCGCTCCAGCTTTCATTTTGAAAAGCTTTATTTGCTACCTGGCGGGCAGGTGCTGAGAACGTGTTTCCATTTTGCCCTACTACCGAGAGAGGGATCATTCCCACCATTCCTTGCAGAACAGGTTGCACCGGAGATGTAATTATAATGGCAGAACCTAAAAAATACCAAAGTGTTCAAATTGTACAGAAACTAAAAATACTTCCTTGAAAATAAAATCTTCAAGATAGGATTTCTTAACATTACGTATGGTCAAACCCGTGGCAAGAAAAGCTCTGGCTTTTTAGAAAAACTTCACTGTCCTTACTATACATTACTATTAGAAAACAACGTAAATACCAGTGTTATTTCTAGGTTATATCAAATTCTTCAGTTAAAGTCTGTTCTTTTTAAGAAATGGTTCAAAATTAGGCCTGATGTATGAAAAACCTGTGTTAAGGCTTGAACTTTAAAGTGATTTATAAAAACCAGTAAAAGTAACATCACATGGCTCATTTTGCTGCTTAGCAAAACCAAACTATTATTTGCATCCTATTCTCTACAATTAGCATGCTCAAAAGTCATTAGCAGAATTATTTTTTTTTCTTCCAGTGCACCCGTAACACCTTCCCCTTACAAGCACCCAAAGAGCTGGGAAAGGCTGAAGCCGTTAGACACCTGCATGCAGATGTCTAATGCACACTCCTGGCTGGCAGGAGGTGTTAAAGATTCTAGGTAATTAGTGGGTTCAAAATTAATTATTTTTAAAAATGAAATAAAGCACAGTAAGATTAATTTGGAATATTTAAGCCAAATTTTCCTATTTAACTATTTAAATCATTGTAAAACAGTTGTTTTAAAACTTATTCTAACAGATTGTTAGAGTGTCCGGCTGCCAGACACATGGGATTACAAAACAGGACAATTATTATAGCGCATTAATTGGAAGTGGAAGAAAAATTTCAGAAGTGAAAGAAAAATTTATTCTACACAGTTCTGCTACCTGAGCACTACCATGAAAAATATCCAATGCAGAAGAACGAGCAAACTTCTATTTCTCTATTAAAAACAAAAACCCGAAGCCAACAGTTGCGTAAGAAATCCTAGTGAGGGAAAAGGCCGGCACTCCCAGGCCTTGCACGTACGGGTGCCCTGGCCTCTGACCACAACGAAATGATTACACACAGAAATTCAAGGATAACTGCAGTAAGGTTCTAGTTTTCAAAAGAAATCTCAATGTGTTGATTACAGCTGGTTTATAGTTGGGTTTAACGTTTTAAAAAGCACTTCAATTTTTTATTGCTGTAGTAAGAAAAACGTTTGTAGTAAGAAAAAAACAGGAGAAGTTTTTATATGACAGAAAGAAGCTATGCTAGACTTTTATATTTGTCTAAAAGTACTTCTAGTGTCGAACAGGGTTTTGGAGAATGGAATAAAACAAAACAAGGAATTAATTTTGGAAGGACTATCTACATCTAGCCAGTTATCTAAACTACATATGGATACCTACAACATAGAGAATTCTATTTATAACAGGAATCTTATTAAAACAAAACCAAAAAACCTGCTTTATTTAGCCAAAACAATTGAATCTTTTCTACTGTAAGCCCAAGTGTGCTTCCTCAATTTATCACTGCTAAAATAACATAATTTAAGCTTCTGAAATATGAGGCTATTTTTTTCAAAGCAGCCTGGTCAATGACTCTCTATAGCTTTTATTCCATTTTTAGTAGCTACTAACCCACTAAAAAAAACACGTAACTCCTGGCTAGTCTCAAGGGGCAGATAAAACAGTGGTTTAAAATTGTTTACTTCTGATGCATTTACAAATAAAGAATAAAACCGCTACACAAACACCACATTTTCAGTCATTTTCTAAACATGGGATTACCCTGTGGGAAGTTTGGGGAGACAGTCTGGTTGGCTGCAAAGGTAGTGCTGGATCTAGGAGGAGTCCGTAACTGTTGTACAGCTGGAGGCTGGGCGGCCACCGGCATGGAATTGCCGGGCAATACAACCACGTTTGACGGCGTTACAGCTGTGCCCAAGGTGGCTGGATCAGTCACACAGGTGGCGATGTAAAGGTTGTTTGAATTCCCAAAAGCTGTGCTTGTTGCTGGCATCAACTGTATAAACCCCCCTTCCTTGGAAAGGTTAGTTGTACCCGCAACTGAAAAAACAGTGCAGTCCTCGTTTGGCACATTAACTGAGGTGACCACAGGATCCTTCGGCCTAAGCACAAGGAGATTCTGCTCCGCCAAAGCTGAATCCACATTTTTTTCTGTGTCTTCTGAAGTTAGGCATTTGGACAGGCCTGCAGTTTTGGTTGGGGATTTAGCTGGAGAAGACAATATTATAGTCGGCAAATTTTCTCCCGTGATGCTGGAAACAGCATTATTTAACTCTGTGTCTGATGAAATAAATGGGTCATCGCTGATGATGATCTTGAGGGACATTATACTAGAAGGATCAACATCCATTGGTTGACTGCTAGAAGATACACCGCTGATACTTTTGGCCTCAGTACCTGACTCCTCTGTTGAGGATGCAGTTTCTGGGAGAGGAGAGTGGCGTATTTCAGACGCAGTCAGATTGTTTTCAGTGGATACTACAGAAATTTCTGTACATGCGTCATCACCAGAAGAGAAATATATATTATCAGCATCTACTTTTGTAGAAGATGATGGTTCCTGCATTTCCCCCTGTGTCCCCTCTGAGTTTGACAGTTCTGAAGGGAGGTTAAAATCTTTCTTACAAGGCTTATCAAGTGAATGCTGGTCACTTGAGTAAGTTTTGTTAGAAGTGTCGACAACTTCAAGCTGCAACTCTGTTTTGTCAAGATCCGAAATCTCCACTGCAGATCTTGCAGCACAGTCCGACTGCGTACTCTGTTCCCGATGGCCAGAGTGGTGGCTCGCGTTCTCCTGTAAAATCCCAGGTAAGGCAGCCGTATCGTTGGTTACAGCCTGTCCTTTTCCTGCATCTGCTGACGGGCTGGAAACCGATGAATTGTTTCTTCTCAGCAGTACACTGTGGCCAGGGCTCCCAGCAGAAGGGCTTTCTGTCGGTGTTTTTTCAGACAGTGACGTACCTGGTGATAAGTGACATTTACTTCCAGAATGTGTTTTGTTTTCACTGGCTGTAGGACCCTCTGCCAGTGAAACCAAAGAAATCTGCGGACTACCAGAATGAACATACTCTAAACGAGGACTACTTCGAGCACTGTGACTTAGTGGGTCTTTTTCAATTTCTATAGCTCTTTCACTTTCAGACACTAATGCAGACGACTCTTTTTTATCATAAGTATCTCCACAGTGTTCATTACATTCGCTATCAGAACTCTGTCTCTTGCTAGGTTCAGCCAAACCAGGCACAGTGTCAAAGGCAATTTCAAGCTCTCCAATATGTTCAGGGGTAACGGTTTTAAGTATTTCAGGAGGCTTCTTTGGTCTACAATTTCCATGCAACTGTTCATCAGCTGTATTTTTCTTAGCAATATCATCATCATTAATGCTGGTCTTCAAGGCACATGATGCTTCTCCTAACTGAAAACCTTTACAGGATAGTGATTCTCTAGAATTATCACCTGTAAAACAGAGATTAAATCAGTTACATAATTATTGAACAGACGATCCTTTCACACTATTTTACAAGCAACTTATCATTTCAATGGAGAACTGTTTCACATGAAACAAAGTAAGAACAATGCTACTCATCCTTACTTTCAAACTGAGTGGGAAGTATATGAAACGTACGGATATACACATTAGGCAGCCTGGCAAATCGGTTTGTACATAAACAGTAAGTGTACACTTAATAAGCAACTGGCTCAAGTCAGTAAGTCAGATTTGCAGAATACAATTTGTCTGAAAATATTTTCACAATTAAAAGTGAACAGATTAGAAGAGATATTAAAGAAAAAAGAAAAACGTACATTTAGTCGTTTCTTCTGTTCCTAAAGAACATTCAAGTGTTTCCAGGTTATCCTCATCCACCAGGATCGCATTTTCCACTCCACTCTGACCAGAAATACCAGCAGGTAAGTTCTTGTTTACCTTGCTCTTTCCTATTTTCAAAATAAAGCATGAAGAATGATTAAATATGTCATTTTACACACAAATGCGACTATGACATTTTAAATGAAGCACGGAAATATCAAATTCAATAAATGCTATCCTAAACTCAAAGAACTATTTGTCTATATTCACTAGAAATTGAGAAATAGCATAAAAACATCCTTACATTTTATGTGAGGATATCCCTGATCAGACAAATAGAAAAATTTTACGACAGCATAGAAAAACCAAGTATGAACTATCATCCTTTAGGCCAGAGAAGTCTAAAATAACAGCAATAAACCAATCACTCAGCCAGCACAAAACCAGAATTTCAGCCACAAGAAAGTGCTGTACTTTGTAGCCACATATAAATGTAAATAAAAATCTAACTCGGAATTGTGGGACACAGATGCCACACAGCCCATCTCTCCTGCAGAAGAGGCCCGCTGAGCTACCTTTGCTTCTTCAAGCAGTACTTCAGAAAATTGATCATTCATGATGCCTTATAGCAATGGTACAACCGAGCAGAATATACCCTACCGTAATCAAACAAGTCAAAGAGTGCCTGAAAAGCTGGATCCGATTCTGTCTGTTCTAGAATGTCCTGTATAGCCTCTTCTGACATATGGATTTCACCCTGAGGAAAGAGAAGATACACAGAACTGTTAGACAGTTACTTCCATAAGTTAAAAGAAACCCAGACAAGAATTGTTTTCTTTTCAGAAGGTTTTTAGTTCTATTACTTCTGCTCAGAAACATAAAGAGCGATGCTGCAAATGTTTCTGTCACAAATGTAATGTCTGTTAAAAAATGTCAGTGATTGAAGTTTAAGAAATAAAGTCCCCCAAAACCCAACCAGCTTTGTCAGACACCACGCCCTGAACACACGGAGTATTCTCCACATAATGGCCAGCATGGTTTAAGGACTGAATCTCAGGCTACACTGGAAGCTCATGC